TATTTTCTTTTCCCGATTACTAAACTGTTGTATATACTATTTATAATCATTCTTACTGTCCGCTTACATTTATATCTATTCTTCGCTTACTAACATCCAGCATTCCCTAGGCTGGACCTGCACTAACACTGGTTGTATTCCGTTGTAGGATAATATATTTTCTTTTCTAATTTGTAAAACAAAATCTCACTTTCATTTGTTCCGCCTGATATTTTTCCTAAATTCCTAACAGTCGATTTTGCCTCGAACCCACCTTTTTGGCACAATCCGGAGAACCGTATCGTGCGAATAAGGTTAATATATATATATATCTGACTATCTAACTTATAGCTACCAGTTACGGTTAGGTAGTTCTTAATATGCATAAGACGAAATCCTTCTCAAAATTGCTCATCAATCTTAGTCCTTATCTACGATCACGCCGAAACTCCATCCAGCGTCTTGGTACCAATTTATTAGTTTCCATTAAAATTTATTTATTGCGAATAAAATCGCCACCATAAATACACCATAGTGTTTACACATTGCTACGGATAGACGGTAAATCTTTTTCATTGCTACAATACATTTTTCAATAATCCCGAATCGCTCGGCCTTATTGGAAATAACTTAGGAATTTCTATATCTCTTACACTCTTTACATACTTCACTTTCACTCGTTCCTTCTCCTCTGCCTGTGCGATTCTCCACTGTTTCCCAGTTTCCACTTTGCATTCTTTATCGATTTCCACACGCAGACTCAATCCTTATTATTTACCTGCATCAGAGAAGGGACAGGAGTCTCATAAAATCAGCGAGCAGCAAGATGGCTGAGATAAAATAAATAATTGTACACTGCTAAATAATAATTATTATTTAACCGTAAAATTTTTGAAAAATTTTTCTCTCACAGACGCTGTAACCAAATCAGCCATGTTCTTCTTCGCCGCCACCCTACTCCTCGTCGCTGCAGAAGTTTGCTACTTCGCCGCTCACATCAGCCACCCCAAGCACAGGTTGTGCATTTTCGTCGCCGGGGTAGTTTTCATAGTTTCCGGTGAGTTTATCAGCAATACACAGTCGGCGAATTTACTTGAAACTTCCTTCACGTTCTGACTATCGATTTGTCACCTTTGTTAGGTTAAGATACAAATAACAAGGGATGCTCCGACTACGTCGCTTTGCCACCTTATTGCACTTGAACGACCCCTCGTGCTACGGCAGCGCCTGCTACTCATTGTGGCTGTCCCGTTAACATCTGCATACGTATTTTACCGTGTCGTTAAACGAGAAGAAATGGCTGTTTCTGCTTTACGTAATTTGCATAAAATCTTCAACCACTATCCCTCCACTCCGACCCTCGCTCGTCCTACTTCACTGAACTAAACTTTACGTTGCTAAATTATTGCACGATTCAAGGACTCCTGCTGAACTCGCCAATTGGAAGCTGCAGTCACGTGGTGCCGCTCTGGCGAAGAGCTAAAGAACAGGTTTATCGGCTTTAAATGAACCAAGAGTTACTTTTCGTTGCTCCAAGTGCCAAACTAATCCTCTGTACCAGCACGTATCGATTGCTGTGAACTTGTTACAGAGGATTTAACTAAGGAACGTAAGCTTCGACTTGAGAGCTCCCTGAAACTCGTAGCTACTTTTTATTTATTGATTATTAAAATAAAATAAGATCACGTTATTCATCGCTGTAGCTGGAATAGACAGTCGAAGACGGACTCTGGACTTTTCCTTTGCAGATTTTTCTATATCCTATTACGTGTATCAAAGGACCCGGAACGTCCTTTGCGATTCTCTTATTTACGGTCTATAAGAAATTTACGTACCGTAAACTCCACGCCGTCCACGTGGAACCGAGTTCTGGTGATGAAGACAGCTTTGGGGGATATTTTCAAAAAATTTTTTGCAAATAATTGCTTACCGTCAGATTTCATGAATTTTCGTTTTTTTTTTTAATTTTGCTCGGGGGACCAGGTCCTAGGTCCTAGTACGAAATAAAGCACGTATCCTTTTACTTTTTTTTTCTTTCTTTTTTCTTTATCATACATTCTCTACCAGACAGCACTTCGTCTCTCATCGCAAAAGCACCACCGATACTCTGCACTTTGCACATAGTCCGCCTTCTTCATACCTTATGAATATATATTGTCAGTATTTCACGGCACCGAGTACCGAAGTACGCTTTGCGAACGCCATAGAGAATTCAAGTTGAAGTCTCTCTTTTTCTTTCTTTTGCCTTTGTCATCTCTCTCTCTCTTTCTCTCTCTCTCTCTCTCTCTTGCATAGAGCCCCCCATTCTCACTAGGTATTCCAGTTCATTTTGCTCCACGCCCAAGATCCTACCATTTTCATTCTTTCTTTTTCTCTTCTTTCCAGGATTGCTCATGCTGGTGGGCATGGTGATGTACATATCTGTGTTCAAGGCGGAAGTCGGCAGCAAACTCAGGCCAAGATCCTCCTTTCAGGTGAGAGAAACTCGGGGCAGGTGCTGCGCGACTGACCTCTGACCTTATATACCATAGGTATAATTTCTCACTCCTTAGTTTTTGATAAAGCTTTACCCATTCGGATCTGATAAATTCTCAATTTGTCTTGCGATTCCTGTGCCTATTTCCTTTCCCTCTTTCTGTCCTTCTCTTTCTCTATCTATCTATCTATCTATCTCTCTATCTATCTATCTATCTATCTCTCTCTCTCTCTCTCTCTCTCTCTCTCTCTGTGTATCCGTCCGTCCATAACTCCGCCTGTCTCTCCGTTTCTCTGTCTGCATTTTCCAGGGACCCCCGTTCACTTACAGATACGGCTTCTCCTTTCTCCTCTACGTAAGCGGCTTCATTACCACCGAGGTTGCCGGGACTTCTGCCATTTTTCTGTATATATCCTGGCATCAGCAGGAGTGGGTGCAGAAGGACTACAGACGTAAGAATTATGGGGTAGGTCATACCAGTAAGAGGATCGAGATAATTTTGATTATTTTTCTCACCGTTACTTTTGCCCGAAGGGTGTCTATCATCTTGAGAATCACGTGCGTCATCCAAATCACGTGAATCACAGCCATGGCGGCTTCCTGTGCGAGAGACACCAGAAGAGATACTTCTTCGGGAGAGACTCCGTGGACCACGTGGATTTCGACGACTTCCTACCTCCGCCGCCGAGTCTCGATTATCACGACTATCCGAGACAGTTCCCGAGGGACCTCACTACTCAAACGGTAGGACTTTCTGCCACCAGGAGCGTGACGATCGATGTTCTATGACCTTCCATCGGACTTCCAGGTCAGCACGACCGCCGACGTCCTCCAGGAAGAGTACAGTCCGAGCATTCAGCATGAGTTTGTGACCTTTGACCTGGAGGAACAGCTGCCACCGCCTCCACCCCTCAGAGCTGGCGAATGGGCGCTGGACACCCTTAGAAGAACTACCCCCGTCTGATATACCGTCAGGTAGGGATAATTTTTTTTTTACTGATAACGCTTATCATAACTAGGCATGATAACTCATTGGGTGCTGGTGTTATCAGGCCGTGTGTTCTATCGCTTCCTGTACTGTAGGTACACGAGGATGTTGCAAAACTTCGAGAGTGACGTCAGCGACGATCAGGATGACGAGGAGGCCGAAGACGACCATGAGAAAATGATAACAAGAACGAAGGGGATGAAGATGGATACTGATAGTAGCGACGACAGTTTCGATTGCGAAATTAATGGGGATGGCGTGAGAATTTTGAAGTGATAACGAATTCAGATCGAATCTCTATTGATATTTCGGTATATTCATTTGAGATTGGAATCTGACGAATCTGGGATGCTGCAACTTAAATTTTCGAGGATCCAACGCCGGCCGTCGCGACGCTCGATATTCGCGTCGCACTCTGTAACCGGTTGAATGTATTGACTATGTGCTGCCATCTAGCAATGACTGATTGGCAGTTGTAACTAATTATTGTATCAGGTTTAATCGGTACTGCCAATATTGATAGTGTACACGGGACTGTCTGAAGGCACTAAAATACGAAGAACTTTACGGCGTGAACTTTTGAACTTCCCTTTTTCTACGTGAGTACAATTATCGCGAAGGAATCCAATTAGCTAATCGAATGCCCACTGTCGGGCCAATCGGTTAATCAAATGATCGGGCACGTCGGGAACAATCAGATTTTAACGTAGAGAGTGTGACCCTAGTATGAATATTGGAACAGTAGGGTTTTTTGTACCGGTGTTTCTCCTTTATAGAAACTGATGGCTATTCGAATGAAAATTATGATAACGAGGGTAAGGTACTGCTGGGACGACTGAAACGTTTGATGCTTGTCTCTAAGCAACGATTATTAAATACTTTGTAATTGTGCTCGTTATCATTTGCGGCTGATTGCCAACCGCGTTGATCACGAATATAAAAAGTACGAAGCTAGTGTACGGATAGTGGTCTGTTCGAATTTGCCGCGCAATTTTGAATGCTAATAATTGTCTTTAAGGGAAGGTTAAATATTGTAAATGTGATGGTTGTGCAAATTGCGCGATGAAGAATTTAGGTGAAAATATTGAATTCTAATTGAATTGAATTCTACCTGTTTTTGGAATAACCGGACACGCATCTATTTGCACCGAGCGAAGGTACGTTCCGGAAATTGCAATTCAGCTGATTTTTATGAAATTTCAAAGACTCGCTAATCGTCTAAGGATCAATTATTAAAATCCATTTATAAATGAATCACGGAGGCACGGATTCGGTGTTTGTCATATGCTCAACGTTACTGTATTATACGTTAACGATAAGGACTCGGTTATCGAGTTGGCTCCTTGATTGCACTAATCGTAATTTTACAAATTCCCTCCGATTACTGGAGCAACGTACTTTCTTCTGTATATTCCACGACAATGTTATTTATTACTAAATTACGAACGAGTAAAAATGCGGATTCATATCAAATTTTCATTTTTGCTCAATCCAATCGATCCTCCTGTGAAAGTTTAACGATAAGCAAGGTAAGAAAGGGTATGCATGATTTTTGATATTGATTGCGTAATTTCTGATTGGTAAATATACAAAAGGAAAGGAACGATCAGGGACATTCCGGAAGATCCTGCCATTCAAATGACAGTAAATAATGTTCAGTTATTTTTCAAATTTGATTCTTATCATAAAATTCGTCATTCCTCTAGCAAGGAAGCCGTATAATAGTAAATATTATTTACATGGCAAATGTCTTTTTATCAATAGATTACAGCTGCTTATACGTTACGAAGCGATAAAGGTGATGGGAAAATTTTTCGCAGTCTCATAATAATTTTTGTCTTTTTTTTCCATACAAATAATATACACACGTGCTCCGGTATTTCGTCGACCATGTCAAGTTAGTACGTACGTAATTTACACACATGCATCGATATATGTGTAGATACAGGCCGAGATACGTAATAAAAAAAATGTTGATTTCCGGTTATGAGATATTCGCGATAAGGCGGAAGCAAAAAATCTCCCTAGAATGTAATTATGATTATGACGCGATGCGGCCAATGATTATGCTAATGACGATGAAGAAGAAGAGGAGAAGATCAGTGAGAATAACGACGATCGTTTACGTCTTTATATTAAAAATTTTTAAACTATAGTGTTAGCCAATGACAAGACTGATATTAGTGACGCAATTAATGACAGAATGCCAAAAACGAACGTGAGCCATGATTGCGTCAAGTTTTTTTTTATTTTCAATTCATACGAAATCAATCATTCTCACTCTATCTAATTTTTCATTGCACCATAGTCTCGTTATTCAGTCGTCTGCTAGTCACTTGTTTCTTCTATTTAAACATTTTTTTTTTCCTTTTCACCGACAATAAATTAATGAGTTTATTTAATGCCGAATCTTTTGAGATCGCAAAAAAAAATTAGGACGAATACTTATTTTTTTCTCTCTCATTTTTTTATAAACGAGTATTTTGTTTTAATATTCCCTCCGCTGATCTCTGCGCTTAACTATACAGTATAGAGTACCTTTTGTCAAAGTAGAATTTATAGACGCAATTTATGTTAGGCGCTTGTTATCATTATGCAGGAGTCACAGCAAGTGAGGCTCCTGCGTACTTGGTGTCTTGTCATTTCGTTTCGATATCGAAATTCGCAATAATAGAAAATGTCATTTTCAAAGCGTGCGTCTTTGGTCGATGTATTTTTACCTCCTGATTTTCCATCTGTCTTACGGCAGATCAGTAGTTCAGCACCCTGATCATAGGTGGGTACGCGTCGTGACGTTCTAGAAATAACGCCCTGTCGGTAACTCTGCAAATAGTTTGACGAAACACATGTTTCATATGATCACCATGGCTATCGTAGTTAAACTCGTGGTAGATACCTACATTACCGACCGACGGTAAAAGCACGTTTTAATTCAGTCATGCCGTTATACCTGGTGCAAGTATGCTGTCCGAATACCGGACGATCGAAGGGAATAAAAGCTATGGGTAATTCGAAAGCACATTTTGAAAAATGAAGAAAGTTAAGCACGACGATTCATTCCTGTAATCCCTTTGATATCGGTTAAAATAAATTAAAAAATCGTAAAGACGCGTACCCATAATTTCTCGGGGGGTTATTCTTTTTTGTTACCTCCCCCTTTTTTTTTATATTTCAATAATTGTTTAACGACCAATTATGGTGGGCTCATCCGCCATGGCAATTTCCTCGGTCGGTGCCTTATCTCGCTTTCGTTTTTTCGAGAATAACATAAAGGCGCATCCGGAAACAAGATTACCGAGGAACACGAACCACGCCAAGATAAGGGAGTAATCGTATCTGAAGATGGCACCCTTGGGAAATGTCTGCAAGACGTATTTGCTTTCGTACTCGACCGATGAGAGTAGAACCTGGATGACCACCATGGTGCACCCGGCTGAAAATAGTAAAATTTCTTTTTAATTCAATTCCACGACACCTTCCCGATATACATATATGTAAATTATATCCTTACCGGTAATAAAGTGAATTCCGCCAGCTAACCGCTTGAACATATATCGCGGATTACGAAACGTGTATATCGAGAATGTGAATCCCATCAGCATGATGATCATACTCATCACCGCGAAGGAGACTTGGGTCCTCGAGTAATCTGACCGCGATTAACGGACGAAGAAAATTTTTGATTAAAAAATCATTATATAAGAATATCTTTATACTCACTGATCACAGTCGGGTTTAATCCAGGATTTCCCTCGAGGATTTTTTTCGTTGGAAACATTTCCAAATATTTGCATTCCTCTGAAATGAGTAAAAAAAATTAATTTTCTTAAAAGTACATTAAAAAGAATTTTTTTACAAATTTTCCTTCGTTCTCATATAAATTAAAATGACCTCTGTCAAAGAAAACATCTAACGACTGTGATATCAAGCGACATAAAAGAGCGGCATTGCAGAAGCTATGAATAATGGATTAATGTAAATCCAAGGGACATTCTGTATTTTTCTTCAACGTTTTATCGTCAGTCTTTAATGTATACGGTTCGGCATCGCGGCTGAGCTTGCAAGCAAAAGCGTCACATTCAATACGGAAAAGAATTTCAAAGAGAGCATTCATTCTTGTCCTTATTTCTCTTTCTTGTCCTTATTACTTCTCTTTCTTCTCTTTATTATTTCTCTTTTTTCTCCTTATTATTTCTCTTGTCCTTATACCTCCTCCCCGTCCATAACCACCCTGGACTTTATAAGACGTGTTCATCCAGTTATTAAAGCTACTCGTGGCTGTTGGAGCAGCAATTAAAACCCGTCGTTATTCGAAGGACCGATTATAAATTGTAGCCGGGACGATGCGTGCGCCCAAAGAAACTAGCCCCCGACGGCAAAAGGTAAAAATTTAGTAAGGGTGTGTTTGTCGGCGCGCCCCTATAACCTCTGGCGTTTAGGGGTGGAAAAGTTCAAAATGGAATACGGCACTGGGCATGCAAACGTATAACGACTCACGCGATTCGAATATACGAAATTCTCTCTAGGGGTTGCCACAGGTAGACAAATAAATATTTTCTCGAGAGCTATGCTAATGTACCGTCAAACGTTACACTTTGACTTTATTACTGACATAAGGGATGAAAAACAAGACGGAATCCTAATTAATGAAATTTCATTTATACGCGAGTTCACTCCACCCTTGATTATTATATTACTTACTATAGGGAATCATTTCGGACTTGTTTGTGTCGACAGGCATTATACCGATAGTACAGCCTCTCCATAATCCTGTATGCCTATAAAGCAGCCGCCTGCCCTCTTTACCAGCGTCCGTAAGGGGCAGACCCTCCTCGTCTGGGACCTGGACGGTGAACCAGTGGTCCGTACCGATAGCTATAGCCCAAACGCAAGCAGAAAGACCAACCAGGGCCGTACACCCAAGTAGAACTCGCCTCTCGAAGATCACCTGTAAAACAAAAAGTGTTGCAAATAAATATTTAACCAACCCTTGAACGGGCATCCCCTGCGAGGCTGGATATCATGCTAAAATATCCCTGACAAAGGGGTATCATCCCCTTCGGGCAACTGCGCGCGTATTAACCCACAAATATAGGCCTATCGATTTTAACTTCGCCGAAATGGAATGAAAGCCAGTAAGTGTGAATTCATCGTAATGGGCTTTGTTGTATATTATTCATTGAATTGACACTGGCAAATTCCTATTGACAATTACTGTAATGAAAAATCATTCGATCAGTGTAATTTTAAAAATAATTAAAAATTTTAATTTTACTAGATACACGTTGAAGTCGGTCGATAATACAGGGATTTTTCAATTTCATCCCCTATTTAATTTATCGGAAAAAAAAGGGATATTCCCAGTGAGATTATCTCCGATTATGAATTTCCATGCTTTTCTAGTACTATTTGCTTTGCGTCTGCTGTACCGGAAGTGACGTATTTGTCGGAAATTAATTTAACGGGCACTCACCTGATTGTAAAGGGCTTTCGTACGACTCGCCATCTTTCCCGTAGCTGTGAATCGCTTCGGTGCGAGTAGGGTGGACGAGTAAACAGTTTTCTAGAGCAGTAGACAAGTAGGGCGTGGTTGTCAATTGGAAATGGCAGGTAAACAAGTCGATGATTTTCACAGTCACGTTTTCACTTAATGTAGTTTATATATGTTATATTAATATAGAGTATTTTTTTTTTTAACGCGAACACACGCCACTCTTATATTGTCAAGGTCTGGACTAGAATTACTTAATTTCTTTAAATATTATGATTATTCGGACGTATTCACGATCTCGTTAGGCTCTATTTTTTTTGAATATTTAAGCGCGGCTGATATGTCTTACCTATTCCTTTTTAAACATTTACGTTAAGATGCCTACGCGCTTGCAGTATTAAAGAAAAAATCTCAGCTCGATCCTTTTCATTTTTTATTTTTCACTTTGGTCCATCTCTCGTGGACTATCGCTGTCTTGTAGTAGATTTTTATTTTTATATCTTACTCTCTCTCTCTCTCTCTCTCTCTCTCTCTCTCTCTCTCTCCTCTTCCCCTTGCCAAATCTTTTACTCACTTGACACTATCTGGCTCTCGTCCAGAGAAGTACGATCGTTCGCTTATTAATTTTCCAAAGTTTCTTCTTAACGATCTTTATATTGGTTCCATTTATTTTCACTGTCTATTCGGCTACTTGGACTTTTCGATCACCAAGGACCCACGATGCCAATAACTAAGGAAGATCAATTTAGTGACTTTGAAGATTGAGAACCTCCTATTTGTTATTTATGACTTTTTTAACTGGTTGTTTCCGGTTCCTTAGATTTTCTGTAAAAAAAAAGAAAATATATGTTTTAATAACTGCCCTTGTAAAGAGGCATTTGGATTAGAATTGTAATTTATTTATTTTTTTTTAATAAATTTTTCACTTTTTTTTTATTTTTTTGTTTCACAACGCTCGGACTTTAAATTATGAAAATCCGCGACGGGTCATTAAAGAAGAGATTTGTCTAATGACCAGCTGCGTGGGTGTCAGATGTATTTTTTTGCTCGGTCTTTCTTTCTTTTTTTTTCTCTTATTTTTCAAATAAATTCACGACGAAAAACGAACAGCCGGTGCTCCTTTGTAGTTTTGTTGACCAGCCGCGAGTGGCCGTTTGATGAAATTTCAATTTACAGTTCGTTTAACTGCTCGTGGGACAGTGCGTCGACGTGTTCGTAAAGACGATACGAGGCTGATTCAGTACGGATTTAGAACGGGCGTCCCGACGAATCGTACGACGCCTATGCGTTTCTGTCGATCTGTATGGCGAGACATAGAACACGTACATTGCCTATTGACCGCTGGCTGCACATTAAAGACCTTTATCTACTGTCGGAATATTTCACAATTTTTATATAACAAGTCCAGGCGTCCCTCACTGGCGTTTTCATAAAAAAAAAAAAAAAAAATTCCCAAGAAAAAAAATATATATTCTTCCGGTCGATCTGGAATTCGTTAAGAAATACCATAATGGCGGACACTCATGACGGCGAAGTTATAGGCCCGTAGTGATCTCATTTTATCCTGGTTCTCGTTGCTGTCATTCCACAACGTATATGACATTCGCGATAATAAAATTACAAAAATTTTTTTTTTTCAACAAACGATCTCTGCTTTTTACATCGTCAAAATTCGGCCTTCCACGTGGCATTCCTTCGAGTATCGTTGTACCAACCTATGCATTGTGTCTAGAGCAATGCTTTTTCGCGACCTTCGATAATACGAGCGTAATAACTTTTCGGTATCGTGACTGTGTTTTCTAACGTTGGCGACACTGCCCAAAATTCTTTGGGATGACTACTCTGGTATGCAGAGACAATGTCGATCGTAAAGCGAGACTCTCGGAATTTCGTAAATTCCTCAGAGTCGCTCGATCATCCCCTGCCAAAGAAACGGTCCCGTTAGTAGAACGGCTACCGACGTCCCGACGCTCCGCGTCTCCGCCCAGTCTTCTCTATGGTAACCAAGAACTGGTCCCAGACGATCACGCGACCCGCGCTTGGCTGAGAAATGCCAAAGCGTTGACTGATTGTTAGCAACTGCGTCCAGAAATCCCGACCACAGACTGACGTACATGTGTACGCGGCATAAACATATTTTCCTATTTACATAAACGACCCGTTCAATTGTAACGGGCTGTTGACAATATATGGATAAAATAAAGATTTCTACGTCAAAATCCTGAACCCGTTTTTCTCTCATATCTTATTACAAAATTAATAATTATACCAAAAAAGTAATATATATCAAAAATAATATATTAAAAATACATTAAAAAAAAAATTTAATAAAAAAAATTTTTTTCGTTTACCTTTATACTCCTAAAACTTTTCACTTACTACTGCCTTCGTTCCCCTGATATTCACATGCTTCCAGCTTCCGGCACTGCAATCCTGATCAGCCGCAATTCCCAGCCACCCTGGTTCCACTTTTACCTGGTCTTCCTCCTGGGCGGTGTCTCCGCGATCCTGGCTCCTCGTGTCTGACAGCCACGAGCCCAAACCTCCGCGACTTCTGCTCGAAGCTTCTTCATTCGCGGCGACCTGCGAGCATAAGAAAAAAGTCAAGACCATCCAAGGACCCTTTTTTTCCATCAACAATTGCTTCCTTGCGCATTTCATCATCGGCCCACACGTACTACGCTCCATGCGCTCTCGTCAAGCCAACCCGAATCTTTCCTCCGGTAAATATAGTACGTGCAATTAGCATCGCAGCACAGCCGGAACTCTTCTTACCAGAGATGCACTTTACTCGAGTGTCAGGGTGATCCGAGGACAGACGTGCATATTAACCCTCTTAATAAGTTCTCCGCGAATAATTCCGCAGCCCGTTGGCAATGGTTCCGCTAGTTGACGTCTTGACGTCCCCATTACGAGAAACAAGAAGGTAACAGAGAAAAACATCCATACAAACAACGTTGTACCATCCGGCACTGCGTTCTACGAGTCGCTTGTAATCAGCATATGCAATATAAGTATAAAAAATTCCCTATAATCCAATAGGCTAATTATTGACGAGGGGTTGGAAAAAAAATTTTTTTTTCATCCCCAACTTTTCTTCTTTTCATATTCCGGCTACAGTGTTCCAGGCATCGACATACAATACGGACTACGCGATCCCTACTTGAAATCCTTTTAAAAAGTGACCGTTCAAATAAACAGTGCGAAATTAGGTCGCGGCCAATTGGTCCACTCCGATTCTCCTATTGGCTACTTTCCCTTATACTTTCGTACTACAGCTGCTGATTGGCCAGAGACTTGGCTGCCACCGGTCGCTACCTTTTTCCTTCCTTTTTCCCTATATCTGTCCGTAAGTCCATACTGTAAGTCGATGGTTCAAGGCCTGTGTTGTGTCTGCGGCTAGGACAGATAACAGGCTGCTTATTGTTGTCTTTGGGTAGGACTGTGCCAAAGTAACCAAACAATCTCCGACGCTGTCTTTGTTCGCGAATCCCGGGCAGCAGGTAAACGGATTTTCCTCGCTCAATGCGTGCTTGTATTTGTGCCAGAATCTCGTGTTCTTTTTTTTTTTCATATCATTTTTCTGACTTTTTTCCAAACTCCCCCCTCCCCCCCTGCTAACCCGAAACGAAGTCTCCGGATCTTCATCCGCGAACACGTACGCCGTCTCGTATGTAACCTGTTAGATACATATGACTTCTGGTGTATACGTTCTCATGGGTGAGTACTGTTCCAACATAAATATATATATATATATATATATTATTAGTGTATATATATTAAAGTCTGACATTATGTCTCTGTGAAAATAGACCGCCTGTGATCTCGAGGCGACCAGGTTTTTGTGGCACAAACTTTTTCGAGAGCGTCGAGTATTCGCGCGGTAAGAAAAAAGTAAAAGGAAAAATAAGAGACGCGCGACGACGTAGGAACAAAATTATCTGGAGCTTTGAACCGTTTATCGGGGGATGGCAATTTATTATTATCGGCAAACGTCAAAGGGGTTGATATAACACGTAACTATAATGGCCGAAGGACGCTACGTGCCCCCCGCCGCCCATTTCACTATCCCACTTTCATCCTTCTACCCCTTTCATCACTCCCATACAATATTCAGAATTCGTGCTATTCACAGAGGGATGGAACGTACCTTTCTGGAGATCGATTTCTCTTATTTATTTAATCTAATGGAACCATCCCTAACTCAGAAAGGGAAATCAAGGATTGGGTACGTTTAATAAGCATAAATAAATAACATCCGTCCATACAGTGACCCGAAATAACATATTTTTACATATACGAATTTGCATATGTAATTTGAAAAAAAAAAATATACCCTTTAGGTAAACTACCCCTAATATCATGACTCGATATCATCGCTTATCATTTTCAGCAGTATGTAAGTATGTCAAAGTGTCTTGTCAGAATTTTTTTTTTTTAGTTAAATATCATCCATCCCCAAAAATGCCACTTTTTATTTTTCACCAATGCAAAAATTTTTCTATATGCTTTTTATGTAATAATGTTCGTTAAAGTCGTTATCATCATTATCGTCATCGTTAATCATCACCGACACAGCTACCACGGCGCTGCGATACTTTTCGGCTTCGCAGGCACCGCGTGCTCCCTGCCGGCTATGACGTCAATCTACTCACTATTGTTTTATTCGTTTACACCAGCAGCCGGCAGGGTTTATTTAGCCGTGCAGCTGCGACCATGGGGTATAAACGCAAGCGAAACTGCCTCCTAGTGCCCTAGCCGAAACGAACTTAACTCCCTCCCGGCTATTTTCGATCTGACGCCTTTTTTTTACTTCCTACTTTCTGCTCGCAATGTGCTAAGAATATACGGAAACGACGCGAAGGCTTCATAGCGAGGCTGTGGCTTTTGGCAGGGACGGGCCCGACGTGGGAATAACGAGAAAAAAGTTTCGCCAATAGAGTAGCGGGCACGGCCGATGGGCTATGGGAATGTTGAGCTCGGGTCACGTAGAGCAAAGATCATTCTTGGATGAATTTCAAGGGCGACCGATGACGTCGCATTGGGACGCCGACGTCGGGACAATGGATGGCCAAATATCCCTTTCACGTTATTCCCACTTCATCGTATTTAGATTAACCTTACGATCTGATCGTGACATCGCGACGCTCGTTACGTCGTACACGCTTACGTCTCGACCGACCCCGGCGCCATGGTATATATATGTTTTTCCTTTATTATTAAGAGTCAATGTTGTTTGTGACAATATTCGCCACATTGTATATAGGGTACGTTGGGATTATATATATAGTTATAGATACATATGAAATGTAGTTCAGTCATATATATGCTGCCTATGGTATAGGAACATGGAATGCCGAGGTTTGTCGGAAATACCCGAAGTAAATGGACACCTAACGCTGCGTTTCAATTTCGAGATTTTTATTTTTTGCACGCACGGTATGTTAGGTAATTGGGACGTTTCCAGCCAATCGAATATTCACCTTACTGTAGTGGAAATGAAATAAGAATGTGGTTGCATGAGGAAACTCTTGGATGGAATATATATAGGGTGTACTACATAGTCTTTCGTTATTTTCATTCTGATTTTGAATTCGCGTATTTTTCCTCGTCGCCGGTAAATACGGTAATTGCGCACTACACAAAGGGGAGTCGACGTAAGGTGGCAGGGATAACGAGAAATCTTAGATCCTATTGGTTGGCAAACTTAAAGCGGAAAAATTAGTTGGGTAATTGGCACAGCTTGGAAACTCGCCTTTTTCTCTCACTCGTCGTTTCATAGCTAATTCTTCCTTTTGCTTCTTTTATCTATCCTTTTCTTAAGATACCCTGCGAAGACTCGCTGTGCTCTCGCTCGACGTGGATTCTCTTTTTTTTTTTGATCCTCGATTCTTTTTCTCTTTTTGTTAATTTCAACACTAGATATAGATTGTGGTCCAGATAAAAATAGAACGACCATTATTGCTAGAGCTACCATCCGAGTATTTTTAAAATCATTTTTCCATGGCCTAGGACGGTTAATTGCCAAGAGCAACAATGCCAAAGAACGAGCCTAGCCAAATTCCCTAGAAAAACAAAAATTGTTATATACACTCGCGTCGCGACGCTTCGAGTACCTAGGGTGTCGCGACTGGGAATTACAGTAAAAAAAATTGGACGCTTTTTCAAAAAATGGAAAAAAAAAGAATACCGTTATCGTTGAGCACCCAGTTCCGGATTATGTCATAAGGTGAGCACGTGTGCACTAGGGGCGTCGCGACGCTAAAATAAGCGCCGTACCCTGATAATCAATTGAATACACAAATTACTATCTTAACGTCGTCGAACGAAATTGAAAAAAAAAAAAAAACATTAGCTTATCTCAAATTTTACTGTTACGTGGAAACAACTCTTGAGGGTCTCTTTGTGTGGGATTAAAGTATTTAATAGGTAAAGTACTTAGGCGCTCTGAATTATTTTCATGAAAGCGTCATAAATCTCCTCCCTGCCGAAAGCCGTAATAAGGACCGGCGACTAGCGCCGTTAGCAGCTGCTGGACCAGGCGAAATTGTTCTTCTGTCCCAGCGAGAGGGTTCGTAGAGAATGCGTGAGACGATTCAAACTTGGTACGTGAAGGGGTTCGCAAGTGGCGACAGGGGTGCCAACGAGCATGGGCTAAAAGTTTAATATCCTGAAAGGCAGCTAACTGCCACGATTACTGGCCAGACGTCGCCCCAGGGCCATTTATCGCCGCTAAGATCCTGTTTCTGTCGGCTTTGGTCGCTCAAGAGCTTACATGAAGACAGGCTTTAGATACCGGTGGATACCTAAAGTCACGGTATCAACAATATTTAGCTGCTCCTTCGGCGGCAGTGCAGTCACGCCTGAAACCAATTGATCAAAGCAGCCTGTAATACAGGACGTGATTTACGTTCATCTTTGACACCTCGAGATTTTCGTAAGCTTCACGCATATCGTGCCTTGTGAGATAAGGGATGATTTCAGATTAGGGATGATTTCAGATCACCACTGATAAGAGTATACGCTATCTCCATATCCGTTCTTCGAATAAACTTTCGCTTCCCGTGGTATTTACCTTGACAAAATTTTATCGCACTCATGGAAACACGTCCTACCTGGGGAATTTTTCGAAGCAAGCAAACCACCCTTGTACGGTGGGAATCGAATTTTTTTATCCCGCACATTTCTAGATTAATTTTTTTTTTCTTTTTTTTGCAAACACGTATAACGTAGCACGCTAAACTTAAGCTCTGATATAAGCAAGTATAAAGTATTACACGTGTTTGAATGTAAACAAGTGTTACACGTGTTAGAATTAAAAAAAAAAGTTAACCTAGAATCTCATACAAAGTTTTACCTCGGATTTTTGTTGCTATGAAAATAATTTTCTCACCCGTTGTACAATAACGCACGTAAACGTAAGGCTATGTCTTTTAGGAAGATTGCTAATGTAATTCGTCCCTTTTGTAATTCTGTCAACGTATCCACTGTGCTCGTCCGTAATACCTAATCAGAATCACCAAGGGTAAAAATCAAGGCTCGAATTACCGCCGATTTTCATCCCTCCCCATCGCGAAATATTTCTGTTTTTATTACGAGCGTCGTAAAGACCTGTTGTTTGGGCATCCATTAAACATCGAACGCGTAAACAAAAATGTTTTTTTTTTTAAACGAGATCGAAGGACCCAGTTTCGCGATTTGTTTATAGCGAATTTTCCTGCTAATGGCTGGTCTACAAAGCCCATCGGAATCGTCAAAGAAAATTTATGCAAAGTTCGAGCGACCTAACGGATGTCTTTCGCGAACTAAACTAAGCCTCGTAAATCAAGAATTCGAATTGAACGTGATAAGCGTCGGCGCCATGCGAATCTTGAAGATTTTACCCACATCGCACATCGATATCCCATTAAATTCTCCCAGAGATTGAGCGGATCGAATTAAAATGAAATTTCGCCACGGTAATTCAATCCCACCCATTTGCTCGAGGACTGGTAACAGATCTTGGAGATAAGGTAGCCGGCAAAGTTTATAAAGAAGCCGAGTAAAAATTCCTGAAAGCGTACCCAAATTCATGCGACTAAACAATACAGAGATTACCGGCAAACATTGATTCGCATACATTAACGATATAAAAATCGTATAATCCTAATATTTAACCCAATAATTTCCAATTAATAATAAATCATTCAAACGCACATCCCAGAATCAATAATAACGACCAGAAATCGAATGTCCGTCCCGTCCATAAATTTCATCTGAAATAGCTGGAAATACAAAGTTATTCGTAAACCAATATCGAGTTTCCATGTAGAGACGTAACGGTGCCGTTACATACAATGGCAATATCCTACTCAAAATTGACAAATGCACGTTCAATATAACAAGTAGATTCGCTATAAAAAAAATTTTAATCCGCGCGCAAGTCCATAACGTTTTATCGGACAAAAATTTTCATAACCCCATTGTCAATGAGGTTTGCGTAACAAAAGTGCAAATAATGACATATTTTCTTCGGACTGTCGCTAATGATTGCAGAATGTGACGTTTGGTAAATTTATCCTCGTCACGTATTTCTACTCCAGGTAGAATCGCATTGCAATGCTGAAATGGGTCTTGGTCAACGGCTGTACGATAAATAAGGGACAATACGAAAGAGACGAGGAATGGCTTGAAGACGGAAGAGCCGAGTGAATTTAACGAGTTTTTATATGGTCTACGGTCGTATAGGATTGGGCTTGTACTTTTATGGGTGGCTTTGAAAAGAGGTCTCTAATCAGCGCGAAGCACCGGGAGCGCGGGAAGCATTAAACGCGGGTTGAAAATCGTCACCTCTCTAAGAGTCAATTCCGATCGTAACAGCCAACCCGATTTACATGATGGATCTGGTAATAATATTATCACAGTAATAAATAGCCTAGTTAACTAACGGGGTAGCCAATCGTTTGTTATTCCATAACCGTCAACCTATACTATATGGTTAATAAATCGATAGTATTACCATGTAAACAAAGCAAGTTTTCATGGGAGTGTAAACGGACAGCGTTTCATCGCGTTCCATAACCAATCATCTTAAAGCCGCGTTTACAACCGGCACGTAACGGTTGTATAGCACGTTAATTTCTTTTTTAGATAAAATCCAAAAATCTACACGAACCTGTTAGAGATTATTATTAATTAATTATTGACAGTCGTTATCTTGCCTTTGACTTTGACGTGCCGAACGAAAGTTGCAGATCCTCGTGGGGTTGGTAGCGGGGGTTGGATGAATTGAGATAAATTTTTTGTTCTCCTCAAGATACAGGTACTGGTTCAGGGCTTTACACTGTATTTGTTTCAAGGCCGCAGTCCGGACATTTAACTGATGCTTTTCTATAGGGTAAAATCATCGGTCTGACTCTAAACGCGCACTAACTACTACTTGGCTCGACTCTCCGTCACTTACTGAAGAGATGGGTAGTTGCGAGGAGCCTGAACAGCCGTCGATACGCAAGCTCAGAGCTTCCCCCGTGCTTTTACACACCGGCGTAGACACGGTGCGTCAGGACTCTTCACGGAAGAGTGTGCCAGGTACCGCGAAGCTTACGGCCAATTCTTATGTAGCGACTGCTTCTATTATATCCCCCTCTGTAACCCAGCGACCCAACCACCCACATAGCGTAGACGTAGCTTCCCGCTGTGCGTCTGCGTACGCTGCGGCCGAGCTCGTCGAGCTCACTGGCGAATGGGTCAATTATTGACTCGCCGTCTGTGTTGTTGTTCTTGTAGGCTGCTACTGTACAGCGATTACTTGTTGCTTTGTTGTTGTATCGTAACGGGGGGAAGTGGGGTAGGCAGTGTTTCCTTCGGCACGATGGACGCTACCGAGCCTATGGAAAACCCTGGCGACGCCTGCTGCGAGCTAGCGCCAATATAGCAGCAATAGTGGCTACTAGCGGGCGCGTCGCGACGCTCAAAATACTTCAGCAACAAGTTGTTGTTGACAGCATCGGGAAGAACGCTGTTTCTTGGTTTTTCGTGAGGAAAATAGACAGATGGGAAAGTTCTTCTAAGAGGTTTTTTTATTCTTTCTTTTTCTTCTTTCTTCTTTGGGGAAATAAACTAGACTTTATTGCCGGGCTGTAATGGGTCGTTTTTTTATTTTTTAATATTCCTTTCGTTCCATTAACTCGACTCGTTCGTTTTTCATAAAGTTGATCGCTCCGAGGTGGAATTTTTAGTGTGTTTCTTTGCTTTGATATTGGACGTCTTGTAGGACTCCGGCACCCTTAGTCAGCAACGTTCAGTTGGTCTCTCTTCTTGGTTTTTTTTCTTTTTTTTTTATACGATCGATCACACTGGTAATGAGGGTGTCTTTTTTGATACATGTAATATCAATCATTGTCGATTGAAGCTATTCATTACTGCGTCAGAAAGATCGATACCCTTAGTCTTCGTCTCGACTTCGTATCACGTATCCTGCAACGGCGTGGCAATCCTTGTCAAAAAGTGGATGAAATCTGAGATTTTTGGCTCGATTCTGTAGTAAGAAATTTTTCGTTTCTACTACTGGAACAAGTAATGGAAATCGATCAGTAATAAATTCGAGGTGAATTCCGCGCGTCCGTTGGATCATTTGCTAAACCACTACCAGAGCACAAGGTAAATTTGCTGAACGCGATCATGAGGGGTTTTGTTCAAGGACTGGAAGGAAATTTCTCTAGTATCCTATAAGGGTCGGTTCTCACAGTGTGATAGCAGTAGGTAAACACGTTCTTAGTCGGACCAATAAATCGCATTCGTATTTACTCGGGCACCGAAGGGGATTAAGACTGACTGTATTTGGCCGAAGTAAAAATGGCATTTTTGACAACGTAAACTTGCTACTGAACATGAATTGTAAAGATATCAGGGGAGGGATGGCATTGCCGGTGCTCCAATTAAAAATAGACGCTTGTTTGAATTTAGTACGGACCTAGACCCTGCGCGCATCCTGCTGCGATAGATAAATTCGAACCCGAGCAAAAAGAAATAAATTATCCTGGTCCGGGCGAAATACATGATGCTTTAAAAATACAGAAATAATACACTTGGATCATTCGTTGTATATTCACGACGTCTTCCTACTTTCTTTATCCGTAGTGCGCTAAATTCCATGGTCGTCGAGATTTGAAAATCCACATTCAACGTGCGGCAACCCGATATGCCACGTAGGTTTGTGTATTTTTTCAAATCTGAATAATTTCCGTTTGAGTCACCGTGCTGCTTGTCCACTCAACTGGGAAGCTACGTCTGGGGTCGCTGCTGTTCATAGAAACGACGTTCGGCTACATGGTTCCTGCGACTGTGGTAGATGTCGCGCTACGACTAGTCCTTTGACAGTTACTCGCTGAGACTATACAAATCTCTACTGTGCTCTATCGGTAATTATGCATTTTTGTTTTCTTTTTTTTTTAAGGAGCAGCTGCACCCCTTAGACGACATGTATATTCCTGGGGACAGTTACTCAGTTCTACAAACTTTTCGTTGCCAGTCTGTTTATTACAACAGTGGGTGCATCCGAAATGTACTGCCAGTACTGTAACCAATGCTGTGTTTTCATCCATATGCATCTAAGAAAGATGTAATTACTTTTACAGCACTGTCAGTACATTTCGGAACGCAGCCAGTATGGTAATGTAAAATAGAAATCTGCATCTAAATAAATACGCAGTACTGCCATCTGGTGAAAAATTCTTGAGAATAAGCTATTTTACAGTTCCGGAGACTTCCGTCAGGGCACAATCAGTCGCTTACGAGAAATTTTCTATGTTCGTGAAATATTTAAACATTAAATATATACACTGCCTCCGGGTAGATTTTCTAAAAACTAAGTGAGCGTTTCTTGCAATAATGTAATTGTAACTGTAAACTTCGATTCAAGCCAAACGGAATAATTTTTGAAAACTGTCTTAGTAAATCTTATCGAGTTTTGATATCTGAAATATCTGATGAGCGGCCTCGTTCTAACGGTTGCTCTGGGAACCAGTGGTAACTTGCGGAGAACCTCTACCGGACTCGCCGCTACGATTTAGCGCCATGTTTTTGGTATCGCCTAAAACCGTAGCGTTGTGCATCTCCCTACTCATCTCTTCCGTCGATAATGCATATACCCGTCGTGGCCGAGTTGAACGTGATCATGAGCGTGTAGCTTAGCTGGTAAAGATACTTCGCTACCTTACCGACTCAGCATCATGCTTTTGGTATTGCCTAAAACCGTAGCGCTGAGCGTCTCCCTACCCGTCTCTGAATTTACATTCCGCTTGCACCCTTTCATCTGCGTAAAACACTACAAACAAGAAAAAAAAGAAAACGAAAGACCCTACATTTAATAATAATCAAGTGAAAGAAATTACTACCTTCCTGTGTTCCCAGTTATTAAAACTAAAAACCGTAGCTCATTCGACAGCGCTACTGTAAAAGGTGCGATTGCTATCGTTCAACGACGCCAATAACCTCACCCCATTCAGGTACAATTCCCGCAATTGCAATAAATTATACGCACTTTGCAGGGTTTACTTATTGACGGAAATCAACAAGCAACAAATCAATTGAAAGCAGCGGCAAACAGTTGTAATAATATAACGTGACGTTAGCCAAGCAAATACTAACCGTGCAAACCAATTGGCCCGTTATACGATTAGCTCTCGAGTGTATATAATTTCCCATAATGGCATTTACCAGTATAATTATCATTGTGCGAGAACGTAGCTGCGAGTCCGCTGAATTTCGAGACCGTGTGGCCTCAGTGACCCTAACGTATTAACGGAAGAATATCATGAGGCAGAAGGTGTCGTGCGAGTTTCAATATTTTGCCGCGGGGCGTCGCGACTCTAATTGAAGGTGCATATAAAACGATTACAATTATTTAATTAACAAGACCACCACGAGAAATACGTTCTTACCGCGTTGCAGAGTTTTTGTGCTAATTAGCTACTATTCTTTGTTAATTAACTTCCAACTAAACTCCAAGCAAATCGCCACACGCGGCACTACAATTTTTAAGGTTACATTCTGCCTGTCGCACGGAAACTTAAAATCGCACAGGCCCCCGTTTGGTAAGTACTGAATCCGTTAGTCAAGCAGCTATTTAGTAATTGAAATGCTTATCCGCGGAGTTGTCTTTGTGCACTGGAGGCAAGTTGATTATCGATGCAGCACAGTCAGTGAAATTAATTACCCAGCAGTAGGATACGTTTCCTTCGTTGTCTTCGGTCGATTTCGACCGTCCTTCGGTTTATTCGATTTTAATGGGAGACTCGAGGAGATTGGACAAGATTATTTTTTATAATAATTAAATGAATTTATTTTCATCTTTTTTTTTGTTTCTTGATAAATGCGACGATACCGATGTTCCAAAGCTCTTTTTACAAACTCGATTTATACAATGTGACAGTACATAGACTAATTATTACATAACTCTCTGATTCGACGAAATTAAATTATATTAGACCTCAGTTGGCAGTACAGAGCTATTTGAAATATATAACGACTCGTTAACAGGACAAATTCTCGCCGGTTCTCTGTTAACGGGAAGAACACTTCTGACTGCTGACTAATCGCAATTAAGTTACAATAATTACTAAGGAACGTATTTGGTATCGGTGCCGTATGCAGAGAAGCCTCTTACCTCCGCGCGACGACGGCGGACGGGAAAAACAAAAGCGAAAATTTGCGCCGAGGCGAGACGTCGCGGCGACGGAAGTCGAGAAACGTTATCGAGCTAGAGCGTCGCGACGCCTGACTCGACCTCACTTGGAACAGCGAAAACGGCAGAATTCTCATGAAAGTAAGAAAGAGAAACGAAGAAAAAAAAAGTTAAGAAAGAATAAGGATAAAGGAGAGAGAGAGAGAGAGAGAGAGAGAGAGAG